TAATGTGGACTCATGACCCCATTACTAGCAATGTACCATGTCAGGTTGATCTCCACGCGGTTCCCCCTGGAAACCATCGTGATGACTTTACCACGACGGGCTAACTGACCTGACTTCGTGCTCATGCTATCATCCTCCACTGGTGTCCCGCCAGCGTATACCGTTAGCGCAGGCGGGGGCACCATTCCATTAAAAAAAACCCTGACAATAGCTCAAATAACCCAATAAAAAAAGCGACTTTCTCTCACTTTTGCCACGGTAGGAGCTCGATAGGTTAAATACCTACAGTACATATACCATTGTCATATAAAACAATATCCATACAAACTAACACTCCTATAAGTCATGGACAGGAGCTACAGATAACAAAGTTATTATAATACTGATACACGGCTTATCAAAACAAATTTGCACAAGTCACTCGCCAAAATGTAATCAATTGTTTTCTTCATATAGTGAAATACACACGTGAGTTTTATTCTCTCAAGTTACTATCTCTATATTAATAATGAATATATATAATCTTTATTTTAATGCTCACAAAGAATACTATAATGTACCGGCCTCGGTGGTCTAGCGGTTTAGCACATCGATGGTCAGGGGTTCGATTCCTTGCACGGTGCAAATATTTGTATTCATGAGTATGATTGTTTGTTCCGGCTTTATTTTACTGCTCACAAAGAATACTATAATGTAACGGCCTCGGTGGTCTAGCGATTTAGCACACCGATGGACAGGGGTTCGATTCCTCGCACGGTGCAAATATTTGTATTCATGAGTATGATTGTTTGTATCGGTCTGGGTGTATTCTATGTATATTTATATGTATATACATAAAAATGTATCTATGTATTTATATTGGTTGTCTAGTCTATCCATAAGCTCTACTTATCTTGGTAATAGATGGCGCTGTGTGAATTGTCCTGAGAACATAAATATATGCTGTTATTTATGAGTTCCCGGGACCTTTCAGATATGTTTCGAACTGTATCTTTTAAGTATTAAGTATTTATATTATTTATAACTAAATTATACTTTTCTAGTTTATATATTTATATCCCGGCAAACGTTGTTTTGGCATGTAAATTAATAACGCTAAAAAAATAGTGGTTGGTTATAGAAGGGTGTAAATTTAGGGTTGTATGTATTTTTTAATGACACATAATAAAAAAATAAAAATAAAAAAAAAATAATATATTTACCCAAAAAAAAAGTTAGGGGTGGACAACCCTTATCACTTAGGGGTATGGAAAATAGATAGTAGTCTCAGGTTCTCAGACCTTCTGACTATGCATATAAAATTTCATAAAATTCGGTCAATCCATTGCAGAGGAGTATGGTAACTAACATTGTGAGATGAGAATTTTATATGATTTGAAATAATTTTTATTTTCTATTACACAATTTGTGTATTGTTTGTTTGTTTGCATTGAAAAGGCTACGAAACTATTGGATCGATTTGAAAAATTCTTTTACCATTAGATTTCTACATTATGTCAGAAGCACATCGGCGATAGAATAATTCCAAATCCCTATATTGCTGAAATTATTAATATTAGAGCAAAGTGATGTACTATATCTATAATCTTATAGAAGACATCAAGATCGAAGAATGTATGTGTGTATGTCTTATAATTTATATTTTATGAAGTTTTAAAGGACAACTTTAAATAATAATGACAAATAATAATAATCTCAGGACAATTCACACAGCGCCATCTAGACCCAAGTTAAGCTAGCTAAAGCTTGTGTTATGGGTACTAGATAACTGATACATATACCTAGATATATTTTGTTTTTTTTTTGTAAATACACACATATTATACATAGTAAACACCCAGACCGATACAAACAATCATACTCATGAATACAAATGTATGTGCCGTGTGAGGAATCGAACCCGCGACCATCGGTCGTAAAGCGGTGCACTAGACGGCTGGACCACCGAGGTCGTCGATAACTGTGAGATATACATATATATTATTCTTAAATAATTAAAATAACCTGTTTGCAACTGTTTAATACGTTAGGATACTGTGGTTTATCACTCTGACTTAATCTACAAAGATAGTTTGTTAAATCTCTCCGATGTAATTTTTTTTGCGCTAATTTTTATACTAACTCTCTTATAATAGAAACGCCGTTAACAAACCAATAATTTTCCTGTTACATTAAATTCTAATATGTATAATATATTCCCAACGAAATGTGGATTGCGATCTTTAAGACATCGAAAGTTGACAGTACTTCTGCCTACATTATCTCTGTGTTACCAAAATATATAATAATACAGTGAATATATATTATTACTATGTTAGAATAATAACATCAAGTAATAATATAGTTGAACAGCAACTCGGATGTTTGTAAACTTGTATTAAATACATAGGAGATCAAATAACTAAAATTTGCTGGCTCCCTCACGGCAATTAGCATATTCACGAATATTCTATCTAAATATTCTGTATTAATAATATGTTAAAATTAAAAACGCTTTATAATAATTTGTCAAAATATATTTAAAAACTAATATTGTACATTAAGTAATTGAAACTAGCTATATTTACAAATATATATATATATAATACTACCTGTCCCGGGAACGGTTGTTTTGCCATATAAATTAATAACGCTATGAAAAATAGGAGTTCGTGATAGAAGGGTGAAAATTTAGGGTTGTATGTATTTTTTAATGACACATAATAAAAAAATATAAATAAAAAAAATTGTCCAAAAAAAGTGTTAGGGGTGGACAACCCTTATCACTTAGGGGTATGGAAAATAGATAGTAGCCGATTCTCAGACCTACTGAATATGCATATAAGATTTCATAAAAATCGACCAAGCCGTTTCAGAGGAGTATGGTAAACAAAATTGTGACACGAGAATTTTATATATAAGATATTATATATTAAATAACCTAGGATAATTCACACAGCGCCATCTAGTCCCAAGTTAAGCAGAGCTTATGTTATGAGCACTGACGACAGATACAAAAACTAATTAATTTTTTTGTGATTTTTCTCTAAAATAAAGGTAGCCTAAGTTACTATTTATTTATTATCTTAACAGAACAAACAGATAGACATTTTTTTATTTATTTATTTATTTATTAAAACTTTAATACACAGATACACAAATACAGGTGCACATTGTGGACGTGTTAACACCTAGAGGCATTTTCTCCCAGTCAACCATAGGGCAAACAGAGATTCATGTGGGCGGTGCATTATGATTAACATATAATATATATACATACATACATACCAATACATATACATACAATATATATACAAATCAACAATGAAAGAAAGAAAAGAAGAAACCGAATATGCTTTCATAAGATATACGGTTTATATTGTACTTATGCATTTTACGCTATGCATACTTATACATGCATATTGCATTATTTTAATCAAATCAAATCAAATCAAAAATTATTTATTAATGTAGGATATTTTTTTTACCTTTACCTTACATAAAACATCAGTAAGTCTAATAGTTATAAAAATTAATTCACATTAGATCACCAAACATTCTAGGTGTTCTCATCTTGCCATTTTGTCATTACTCATTAAATTTTACTATTAATTACCAACTACCAAAAAAAAAATATATTTTACTCTGCAAACCTTTTGACTCTCTTTAGGTCTAAATATGGTATGAAACCACTAGGCTACGAAGCTCTCTTTTTAATTTTAAAAGATATATTTGTTCTTAAAGTTGTCATCCTCTGTAAATCTTTTGACTCTTGACATTTCGGGTCTAAATCGGGTATGAAACCACTAAGCTACGATCCTCCCTCTCTTCTTACTTTTACTTTTAAAAGACCTGTGTTCTTAAAGTTATATCATAAACAAACAAACAAGATTAGGTGGAAATGAACCTAACCATTCGTTACAAAGTATTTTTGACGTCTTACTAATATTATAAATGCGAAAGTTTGTGAGTATGGATGGATGTTTGTTACTCTTTCTTTCACTGAACGGATTGTATTGAATAGAATAGAATAGAAAATCATTTATTCAAAAACACTTAACTTAAGCACTTTTGAATAGTCAACAATTTTTTTTTAATCTACCGCTTATTCTGTCTCATCACAAGAAGAATAAACACATATGTAACTTTACAGTAACATAGTTTATATATCAGAATAACATATAGGCTATAATTTGAAAAGATATTATGTAAATTGGGCGATGTATAATTGTAAGTGTGATGCAGACAAAGTCGCGCTGTTCAGTTAGTTTATTATAAATATTCGTCTATATACAATAAATACATTATTTAATATCTTAATCCACCATTTAAATTTTCATACCCACCCTCTATTAACAGTTATCCCCAATTTATACAAGTTTTAAAAGGATAGACAACTTTATAATCCCACTAATATAGATATTTATAATAAATGTGCAAATTTATAATCCTTTAATAATGTTTATGTGTTTATATTTAGGGCTGGATGGATTTGCATGTTGTGTTACTTATACACTTAAACTTATATGGCGGTTATGACACTATTGCGTTTATATATTAATTTGAAATTATTGTTATGTACCAAATAAACAATTCTTTTTTCTTTTCTTTAATTTGAAAATAATACGAGCCGAGTTGCTTGTCAGTTCTTCTCATCTCGAAATCATTCCGAACTGACGATAGATTTGACATATCATAAGAGTCTGTAACAGGCCTACATGAATAAAGATATCCTGAATTTTAATTTTAATTTAGGATTGTAAGGATTTGAATGCTTGGTTACTTAAATCATAGGAAAGTTATGAAACTATTGAGTAAATAAAGAAATTATTTATTTATTTTGACCTCGGTGGTCTAGTGGTTAAGCACACCGCTTTCCTTTAGATAGTGTCGGGTTCGATTCCTCTTATTTAAGAGTATGATAGTTTGTACCGGTTTGGTTGTTTTAAAAATCTATGTATTTAGGTAAATCAATTCTCTAGTACCCATAACATAAACTCTGCTTACGGTGTTTTTCTAGGATGACAATAAAAGTAAAGAAGCGTCAAGCTGGAAAAGGTGGGAAGAATGTTCAGAATGGAGAAGGCACTTCCAATGAGAATGTGCCGGAGAAGCCAAGATACTGGGATCCATTATCTGACGGGGTGCGGTGGATTGAAAGTTACGCAGAACCAATAGAGAAGTTCTTCGAGAGATTACCCGAGTTTATAAGTACATTTATTGCTACATTGGCTGTTTTTACATTCGGCGCTACATTGAGAGGTGAGATTATATAGATAGATAGATAGATAGACAAACTTTTTATTAATCAATTACATACATACATCTCAAGACGAAGGTTTACAACCAATGTGTGTTGCCAGTGATGACTTACGGTACAGAAACGTGGTCGCTAAATATGGGCCTCATGAACAAGCTCAGAGTCATTCACAGGGCAATGGAGAGGGCTATGCTCGGAGTTACTTTGCGTGATCGAATCAGAAATGAGGAGATCCGCAGAAGAACCAGAGTGAACCGACATAGCCCGAAGAATTGCGACACTGAACTGTCCGTTTACTGTCACCTGTAATATACATCGTCTCAACCGACAATGCCGGAAAAAGACGATAAAAATATTGATCTCCTGGATTAATCTTTTGACAGGTCACTCAGGTTAATTCTTTTTATACAGGATTTGATTTGTTATCACAAGGTCGGTTAGTGGAATATAAGTTCATTCACTGATAAGATTTCAAATTATAACGTCAGCCGATAAAATAATTCTGCAGGTGCGTGATAAGTACCAAATTATGAAATAATCATTAAGATAATTTAATGATATAATGATACAATGATAGTATATTATCACCAATATCGTTGCTAGGTCAAACAACTGTGATAAGTCTGTCAATTACGATTACGGCATCTTAAGTACACGAATAACATTCTTGTACTAATCATTACATAGTATAAAACAAAGTCGCTGTCGCTGTCTGTCCGTTCATATGTATGCTTAAATCTTTAAAACTACGCAACGGATTTTGAACCGGTTTTTTTAATAGATAGAATGATTCAGGAGGAAGGTTTATATGTATAATACATGTACACCCGTGCGAAGCCGGGGCGAGTAGCTAGTATAGAATATTATATGATTTTCTTAAAAAAATCTTAATTGTTATAGAAGATAGATAAAAAGGATGAATGAAATCAGAACTAATCTTCATTCAAATAAACACTCTTCAATGTAATGTTTTTTAATTCAAAATCATGTTTTTTTTTTATAATTGTCAAGAAAATAAACAGAAAAAGCTCATTTACTGCCTAAATAGCATATACAGAGTGTCTACATTACTTTAATATGATAGTATATTACACATTGTCAAATACGGGCATTATAGTAAACACGAAATTCAACGAACTTTCTGCCATCTCATGGATTTTTATTTAATAATAATCATAATCATCTCAGGACAATTCACACAGAGCCATCTAGACCCAAGTTAAGCTAGCTAGAGCTTGTGTTATGGGTACTAAACAATAGATACATATACATAGATATTTTTTTGTAAATATATACATATTATACATAAAAACACCCAGACCGATACAAACAATCATACTCATGAATACAAATGTTTGTGCCGTGCGAGGAATCGAACCCGCGACCATCGGTCGTAAAGCGGTGTGCTTGACTGCTAGACCACCGAGGTCGTATTTGTACTGTCGTTGGTGTTTATTATCGGAGAGTAATTTTTTTAATGGATGATGACCACGGCATACCGTTTGCGCATGCAGCATTTCTAATCCTTGGTGGCACCAGTGGGGATAGGATGAGCATGAGATCAGGTCAGTTAGCTCATCGAGAGAAAACACCAGGAGTTTATCACGATAGTTTCCATGGGGAATCGCGTGGAGGTCAAACATTGTTAGCAGTGGGGCTATTAGTCTACATTACTAACAATCTCCAATAATTCAGTTAGAAACATAATTTCGAAATGGAAACTCACTCTTTTTAAATGGTTCCAAGTCGTAGATAGTAAATCTTCTTAGACATACATACATCTACACTAACATAAAGAGAAAATTTCATTATCTATGTGTTTGTTTGTAACAGTTAAACTCAGAAATTACTTCACCGATTTCCATATTTATTTCACCTGCAAAACCATATATTAACTGCAAATAATTATTTAAAAGAGCAATACGCAAGTTTCTTCTACGTTCTTCTTGTGACGTGGCAGCTTTCTGAAGGAGCGGTAGATTAAAAGAATGTTAACTAACTATTCACAAGTGTTTAAATTAAGTTTATTTCAATAAATTATTCTTCATTCTATTCTATTTCTCTATTCATTGTAGTAAACTCCCGCTGAAGTTGTCAGGATGGGCTAACTGATCTCGTACTGATCTTATCATCCTCCACTGGTGCCTATTCTATTCATCCATTCAAAAAATATTGTTATTTATGGATATATATAATTAGGTGTTATTTCATCATTTAGTGGATTTGTATTATGTTGGTAGCAGGGATGTTATGGATATGAAATTTCGGATATAGGAATTGATTATTATACCGGATACGGATACGGATGTGGATATGAAATTATTTCGGATTATCCGTTAGTTTCGGATAATTTCGGTTACGGATATGAATTTTTTAAGGAATTTCGAAAGTAAAATACATAAAGTTAATAAAATGGTTACATAACGCGTCTCAATTAGGCTCCGCCCCTATCCGATATTATCTGAAACTTTCATTTCGGATTCGGTTACGGTTATTTTTTTTTTATATCGGATATCCGATAGTTTCGGTTACGGTTACGGAGCTATATACGGTATTTCATTGAATTAGTGCTAATCGGTAGTTTGTATTCACACACTTAAACTTAAATTGTAAGTAAGAATAAATTATTCAAAAGAGCAACACACAAGTTTCTTGCTTGTTCTTCTTGTGATGAGACAGCATTCCGAATGAGTGGTAGATTAAAAAAAAAATATGATTATTCAAAAGTGCTTCAATGTAATTTTATTTGAATAAATGATTTTCTATTCTATTCATATTATCTTAATTAAAAAAAAAATATCTTCAATTTCTAGGAGAATGGATAGTAATATTAGTGACGGCGTTGAAGCAGATCACTGGTCACACGCAGAGTGGGCAGAATCTCACAACAGAAGAAATTTACAATCTGATGACGCCGGAGAATTTGAAAATGACCAACTTTAGTGTCATTTTCATTTGGGCGCACGTTGTTTCCCTGAGCATGTATTTCTTAATAGGCGGGTTTTTACACGTAAGTACTTTTTTTTTTACACTACAATAGACAAGAAAGAAAGAAAGAAAAATATTTTATACAGTGCAATACAATCATACAATATAAAAAAAAATATCAAATAAAATGTACATATAATTAAACTTAATTTACTATGTAGATAATTAGAAATAAACATAAAAAAATAAACATAAATAACATTTTTTTACATCCATGTATGCACTGAAATGGCTCCACTCAGCTTTAATGTATGTCCTATGTGAACATACAGCTGGTTTTCAGTGGCACCAAAAGGAGAAAAATATATATATATAAAAGGGGGAGAGAGAGAGGGCACTATTTAAAATATTAATGATAATTGTTGGATTACGAATCCATATAAATTAATATATAAAAGAGAGAGAGGATTGTATTTATTGAAAAGAAAATAATTAATGGAAAAGGAAGTAAAAATACGATTTCGACCTGGAAGAACGTCTTCCACACTCCGAACACCCCAAAGTAAGCAATGTAACACCAAACTTACTCACCTTTGCTCAGGAACGTCCCGATGTGTAGTACTGTTGAGTGGCCACGCACTCTACAGTGTATATTTTCATCAAAAACAATTATATTCTATGAAATAAATCATTAATTATCTTGTTTTATATAGATAAAATTACGGAGCGTCCTTTTAATTCCAATTCTTATTTTCAATTGTTTTATTTATTCTTTTTTCGAAATTTAAGTGGCCACATGTTTTTATATGTGGCCAGTATCACCAAGGGCCCTTTGCTTCAGTAAGCAAGCCGATGATACAACATGCTTAGACTAAGGAGGTTCGGAATACGGAACAATAATAATTAAAACAAAATTACAATTAATAAATACAAACCAATTACAATATACTAGAAAGAACAAAATAGAATAAAATAACATGAATATATATTAACATTAAACATATATATACAACTATTTTGCCGTAAGATTTATAGGTTAAATAGTACGTACATAATTCTTGTATAGTGTTTTAAAGGTGAATAATGATAGTGGTAAATAATATTTGTATTCACACATGACTTGGTCAAGTAGCTATGGGCCAGTAGCCATGCTAACTAAAATGTCCAGACATGTGGCGGCGTGATGGGCCGGGTCATTGGGTCCGTAAAATATGGTCGAGCGCAGTGATAACTGGCTCATACGTCGTACTCGTGAACGAGTGCTGCTTGTAAGGACTGGTCTGCTCTAATCACTACGACTGATTTACTCAACTAGTTGGTGTTAGTGCTAGTTGGTAGTTTGTATTCACTCACTTTATTGGCCTTCAGCCGCTCTATAAGTCCCTCCGCAGGTTTGGAGTGCCATCTGCACTCGCTCCCTTACGTCCGCTGAAGCTCTAATGGCCAGCAACAGCCAACAGCATTAGAGTAGTCCGAAAAAAAAACATATCTTACACGAACTACAGCTTACAAAGCAAGCTATTTGATGGCAGAAATAGGTAAGATACGTGTACATTATCAGATAATAATCTTTAATTAACGCCTGATGTCCTAGACAAGTGGAAAACATGTCTATCGATAGCAAATTGATAGATGTGTTAGAAAGAGATACCTAACATTGCTGTCTCAAACGTCTCATACCCAATACTTAGAAATTTGAGTTTAAATAAAAAAAATCAAAAAGTACTAAATAAAACTCAAATACTTTTTTTGGAGTTTAAAAGGCCAATATTTCAATTATCAAGATACTACATCAAATTAAATTGCTCCTGTTGGTGTTTAAATAAACAATATATCAATTAATTTAGAAAAAAAAGTTCAATATATGTTGTGAAGTTTATTGAGAAATACTTCCCTTCAAAACTTAAAGAAACTTCTTCAGCGTCCTCTCTTCTATTCTCTGTGCCATTCTAATGAAGATCACAATTAATTGCTTGAGCTGAGGTTCGAACCTCTAGCAGTGTCTTCAGATTAACGTCATATCTGTCAGATATAAGGGATTTAAACAAAAAAAGAGTAGACCTTCTGCCTCTCTATAAATTCTTCTGCGAGCTTGATGTTCCCTTTGCACTCGCTCAATTTCTATCCAGTAAAGACTAGCTCTAGCCAGCTTGGAATAGTTCGAAAAAATTCACTTCCGCAGCAAACCAACTGTTGACCTATAAATCAAATCAAATCAAATCAAAAATGATTTATTCATGTAGGACATTTTAGCGGCTTATGAACGTATTATTTTTATATTAACATTTATATTTCTGCAGATTTAATTTGTAAAATTTATTTCTATATCTCATGTATTGTATGTATATACTTGTAATTGTTGAATAAAGCATTTATCTATCTAATACATTTTTCCTACACACTCAATTGAGAAGAACTGGCAAGATACTGAACTGAATTTTCTCTCTCTTTTAAAATCAGTTAATTTACTTTGTATACCTACTTATGTTGGACTCTATGTTTAACATTAAATAAAAATCCCGTGCATGAACAACTATTGCCATGCATGTTTGTCATCGCACACCTGCGTGCCTCGGTACACTGTTATATCTCGTGTTTATGGTTATTACCTACTTTGCTATGACCACAGGTAACCTACCTACATAACTGGGCTAACGTTTAGTTTATAACAATAATTAATTGATTGATTATGACATTTTTATCTAATACGTGACTGTGCATTAACAGAAATTATGACAACATAAATTTCACAAATCATTTATACCACTGTACATTTCGTGTATAAAAACATAATTATCTATATGCTTTCACAGCTAATCCCTTACGGAATAGGCATAGGAAAGCTAATATTATTGGGGGAGGAAATTGTTAGTAACGGGAACTTGATCCGATTGCTAAAATGTCTCGTGATTTTCTTTGGAAACCATTGTAGTTAATACTTGTTCCTGTAAATAACGAGAGGAAGAGGAAAGCATATTACGTCGACCCCAAATAAATGGGATAAAGAAGAAGCAGATGATGATATAGTTAATTCCTATTGAATTTGTTGCAATCGGCTAATAATCTGACCTGCACATGAGCTCATATTATCATCCTCCACTGGTGCCTCGTCAGGGCGATAATAGTACCACTCTTTCATTAAAAAAAACAGTATAATTTCCTCATTCTCCACTGGTGCCTGATAATAGCATCATTTACGTCCCATTCGTTAAAAAACAGTGTTATTAGCTTCTATCCTTTCTCAGAAATCTCTCTTATCGAAAGCAAGCGACATGTTGAGCGTAGTATATACCACAAAGCGTAATGGACCAGGTGCTTTATCTGTAAAATTTGTTTCTGTTAAAGTCAATGTTTTTTTGATTCCATTATGTTTATAAATAGTTATGTTTTCTTTCTTTGTTACAAATCTATAATAATTGAAGATCAAACGAACTTACCAAGTGAAGTTCGATCGTAATTATGTGAGCAGCTTCATTCGAAGCGATTTCCGTTTAACATAATGTAGTAGCGCCATCTACTCTAGACCTTAGCACGATAATTTAAATACCTTCTTTTTTTTTTTTTTTTTTATAGAAACCCAAACACTCCCCTCCTTGTAAGTGGGGCGAGGCTACGTTTTAAATGTAATCGTTCGAGTTAGTCATTTTGTTTAAAGTTATGAATCTGTTATTTGTTATTTTATAATCACAAGTATTATTGGGATGGGATTGATGCCAATATTAATTGGGTGGGTGATAATAAATCGCTTCGAATGAAGCTGCTCACATAATTACGATCGAACTTCACTTGGTAAGTTCGTTTGATCTTCAATTATGTTTCGCAGCTTCATTCTTTGCGATTTCCGTTTAACATAATGTAGGATGTTTAAAGTCGTGATTTTAAAATAAAAATTAACAATGACAAATAATACTTATCAGTATTTGTTTTTGCATAATATATCTCGGAATAGGTAATAATACGTCGGCAGACAATTTTTAGAATATTTTTATTAATATACAAATCAAAATCAGTTCTCCATTGTAGGTAATTTTGTATACAATAGTTATAATGTTGTATCATCTAGTAATGATTCTGCAAATATATTATTATTTGTAATTTCTTTATTGTAGAAGCGAGCAAACGCTGAAGATGAATCAGACCATCCTGCGGTCCTTTTAATTACTTCTATACTAACACCCAGTTTGTTAGCCTTCGATGTGGCTGCATGTCGTGTACTATGTGAACTAAATATTGATGTGTTAATGCCGCTTTCTTCTAATATATCTTTTATCCAATGGCTAATATAAGGGCCGATATTAGAATGAGGTTTTTTGAAACTCACAAAAAAGCCTGTTGTCATTATTACTGCGTAGCAGTCTAGTTTTATTTAGGTATGATTGTAAACAACGAGCGGGACAAATTTCTGGACGGGTATTATAAAACGGAAGTCGTAATACGGGTAGAGATGTATTTAATTTTGTTGTCTTAATTGCGTCTGTAATCTTTATCAGAATTTCATTAGACATTGTATAAATATTATTTATGTGGATTAATGACAGAGTTTGTACACGATGTGCAGTCACAAGGGCGAGTAACGTTACTGTCTTCTTGGAAAGAGTTTTCAAATCAAGGTCATCGTTAGGCCATTTCTGTGCTAGAAATTGTAAGACAATTCCAGGGTCCCAAGTTATGTTATATTTTGGGTTCGATGGCCTTAGTTTAAAAACTCCCTTCATGAAGCGCTTAAGTCTATCATCATCCAGATTATTGCTTAATAACAGAGACAAGGCGGATTTGTATGTATTAATCGTTCCATATTTGGCACCTTTATCGAATGCATCCGTTAAAAACTCTATTATTGGAGGTATAGATATAGAAGTATAATCATAATTATGACAACTGCAATAATTGAGCCAAGCTCTTATACCGCCGTCATATTGCCTATATGTATTATTTGATAATGATGCAAGCATTATATCTACTGATCTCGGTGTTAGTGACTTCTTTAATAGAGTCTGCCGGATAATTTCGCGGCAACCAACGTTAGAGAGCGGTGTAAGCTGTGCACGGATCTGTAAGGAGATTTAAGCAAGTTAATACGTG